TCTCTCTCTCTCTCTCTCTCTCTCTCTCTCTCTCTCCTCTCTCTCTCTCTCTCTCTCTCTCTCTCTCTCTCTCTCTCTCTCTCTCTCTCTCTCTCTCTCTCTCTCTCTCTCTCTCTCTCTCTCTCTCTCTCTCTCTCTCTCTCTCTCTCTCTCTCTCTCTCTCTCTCTCTCTTCCCTTTGGTGCTTTTTACTATTTGCATGTTCGCGGCCAACTTGGTTGATATGTAATTTGTCACAATATCGTATTTTAATAAGAGTGGGTTTTTTCCGTGTGGTTTTATGTGAACGCTACGTGTGTTCACGTGGTTTTTTCACGTAGAAATGAGTTAAAGTAGAAGTAGATTAGTCTATTAAGTGAAGGCAGATATGCTGGCAACGTTACACTGTCATAATTCAGTGTCACTTTCACAGAACAGACCCCACTGAGTAAGCTTTAGTAAGTTATGGCCTCGCGACACCCACCCCCATTGATGAGAGTGATGCATGCAGCTGTGCATCGTGTAAGTGCATATTTTGCTCGATTTTTCTGGAAAAGTTGACATTCAACTTGTATATTATTAACGTTTTGATGAAATAATATTTTTCAGTCTGACATTTTTAAAATTGAATTTTTTTTTTTCAGATTAGTCCTTAGAGATATTTGATCTGATTAACTCACGACTACGAAGTACCAAACAAATGGCAACAGCTGGATTAGAAGGTATTTATTATGTCTAGTCTTATTTTTTATCCTCAAAGTTTCTCAATAAATTACCAAATTTTGTTGGCTTGATTATTTCATTGACTAACCTCGGAATTGTTTCTAGTCCTTACTGTTATGGATGAAATGTGATGTAATTTAAGGTATTCGTGCTATCATTTAATCATTATCTCATCAAATATGTTCTAAATTATAAGCAGTGGTGTAAAGAGTAAGTAAAAAAGCCACTACTGATAGATGGGAAAGTGAGGGAATTATTTCGCCATTCTGGAATTCTTGGGAATATGTCATCCTTGATTAATGCTTAGGAAATATGCTACTTTTCCAGCACTAAGAACATCGAAACTAATGTCATTTTGAGCAGCACATTACCGTAATGTAAAAGTGAATTACTTGTTAATTACTCAGGAGCATTCATATTACTTTAGTTTACTTGTGAAATGATCAGGTCGGCTGATAGAATCCACCATAATTCTTAGCTTTTTTTGTTGCCTTATATCAATATGATTAAAAATTCAGTGAACTGCGATCATTATTAATTGCACAGCTTAATGTTGTGCAGATTAGGCTAAGCAAGGCTTCCACGAAAGAAGTTTGTAACACAACTCGTCAAGCATTTATTTAATTTCACATGACGTTGCATTCAAAGATCGATATTAAAATACAGCAAAGTAAATGATGAATAAAAAAAGCAAATAATCGATAAAATCTAATGAGATATTAAAGTACTGATGGGATGGATTCTTTCTTTTAATTTTCTTTTGTAATTTCGGACCAAACTCAAAGTAATATCTGCTGACTTGTTTACTGCTTATTCTTTTTTATTGCATCACCATGGCGTTAGTTGGTTATACATATTCATTGCGCTATTATATTCTCTTTATATTACAATATTACTAAACTATGAATGTTGACATGTTTTTCGTAACAGACATTACAAATCCTTCTATGAGATGATTTAAATATATATTCAAAAAAATGGTCACTGGTTATAATAGGAAAATGTAGCGCTCAATAGAAATCAGCACAAAAATTCATCAAAAAGCAAATCACTACTTTATTTTTCGGCTACACTTTTGGGTTTTAGCGAATAGGACAAGATGACAAGTATATTTATCTGATAAATATACTTTAAATTTAGAGATAGGGCTGAATGGCAGAGTGAATCTTTTATTTGTTGCCAATAATCAGTCTGAGCTTGTAACAAAATCTAATTAGCTACTTTGTTACTCATGGGATTTTCCAGTTTGTTTTCACAATTTCCTCGTTTTCTTTTTCATCCTTCTGCAAACCACTCTGTGTCATTTTACTCCTCTCTTTTGTTCCTCTATTTTCCCGTTCTATTTCTTTTTTCCCTTTCTTTGGTCAAACAGTTCTAGTGGAAGTTGCACAGGAAATGTAGAACGCGATGAATTTATCACTGATCGATGAGTCCATCATTAAGTATTAACCAGTGATTGTCGCCTCTAGTCTTGGATAGAGGAGAGCAGTGATACCAGTTATCAAATTATTATTGCATTTGATTCATCCGTTTATCGCTTTAATTGGCCAATAATTAGCTGTATTGTTCTTTCTGGTCTAACTAAAGTTTCTCGAAGATGTCTGTCGTACTCTTCCGACTGTTCATTAACAATTACCACACTGGGTGAAACATTCGAAATGGATACCATCTGATTTCCGTTCAGTAATTTTACTGAAAGTCGAAAGCGTTAGATAATGATGGGATTTTTTCAGACACGAATATTTGCCTGAATAAAAAGCAAAATTGATATGACCCAAAAATTAAGATGGAAGAGGAAGAGATGAAAGGTAAAGAAGTATTTGGAATGAGAAATCGTCCTTATAATGATAATACATAAATTTGATTCATATGATTAGCCTTTATACGTATTGCTGCATTCCAGTGCATTTTATTTTGTAGGTACATATCTGTGCATAGAGTATATCAAACGAGAGAGGTTGAAAAGAGGAGGAAAAAGTCGGAGAGAGAGGACGTGTGGGATTGTCACACATTTTTCTCAGATTATTTCAGGTTTTTAGTATATTTAAGATCGGTATACGTATATATATTATATAATCATCTAAAGTTCGTACATAGCTTTTTAATTTTGGCATTATGTGAAATAAACACACATGTAGACAGCGCATCTAAATTTCTTCTTCATCCCTTCTTCGAATCATCGGTTTGCTTCCCTCTCTCATTTCTCATGTGTGAAAAGTTTTGGTTGGTTCTCTTTTCTTTCAGAATGAACTTAATACATCAATCGTTATTTCTAGTTAGCTATTTTTAACAAAGTAGGGTTAGGAAGAGCAAAATATGAAATAATTTCAATGAAAAAGCAAAAAAGATTTGGATTATTGATAGGCTTTGGGATACCGAATGTTTCATGTCGCATATATTTAAATTCATTTTCTGATAATGATGAAGAATGGTAATTGTAAGGTAATGTTACGAAACATGCTGAAACATTTTGTTTAGGAAGAAGCCTGAGATAAATATTGTTGCTTGGTAAATATTGCGTTATACTGCTGCTTCAGAAACTTTGATTCACTGTCCTGTTACTACTTATTGATTAGCAAAGATCGGTTGATTCGAACCACCCAAAACTTGGCTAATTAGTGCACTAGGTGAACTGATTTCATTAATCGTAATTGTTTGTTTTTCAGAATATCGGAGGTTTTATTCAATTTTACTTCATAAAATTACAGAGTTTCGGGTAGAGGAATGACTGCTTGGTCGAAATCAGACATTGGGTTCCATTTAGAGATTGCATTATTGATTAATAGTCATATTCTGTGTTCTCTCTTATATTTCTGTTCTTTTTTTCTTTTTTTTCTGAATGATTGATTTTTTTCCTGTCATTTTAATGTAATGTTATAAAGGGTGGATAGATGGTTGTTGCTGTATTTTGCATATCAATTATTTTTTATAAATGTGGAAATTCCTGTGATAAGCGATAATGAGGTTTTTTTTTCTCGACATTCTATGTGCTGCTTCAATTAATATTAAGATTATTAATCTTGCAGAGGAATTTGTCAGTGTTATTCTTGGGATAGTTAATTTCAAAAGAATGCTTCAGGATTTTTAGTTGTAGTAAAGGATAACATTTTTCGGAATTGGGGAAGCGCATAAATGTTATGACCATCAATGATCAGCTCGATCTTAATGTACTGTCCAGCGCTGTTCCAAATTTTTATTCTTGGATTTAATAGCAAAATCACGCTAAAAATTGTTAATACTCTATCTGGTTTTAGAATTCTGCCATGCAAGTAGTTGCGGATATTCGGAGTGCTAGCTTTTTCTTTCTTTTTTGTCTATCTTTTTTTATGGACCAAAATCTGACGTGTTTCCTTTGCTAGAGCGGAGTTTCTATGAATGTATATATAGCTGTCTTCTGTAAATTATCCAGTTCGGTTTATAGCATTAGGAAGAAGTAGAAAAGGTATTTGTTCACTTTACCAGAGACTGTAATCTCATACTAATGCAATTTTAGTCGTATCTTTGGAAAAGAAAAATGGGTTATTTTTATCGTCCGCAATTTGTTTGATTTCTGAAATACATTCAGTTCGGAACATTCATTTGCTAAGTGCATCAGGTAATGCCTCCCAAGAGGCCTCCTCCTCCTCAGGAGCGATCCGCAGCCCGAAAATCCAAAACAAGCACAGTAGTTACCCAGAAATCATCACCTTTGGGAAGGAAGAAAGATGCCAAAATGCAAGATGCTGTGGATAAATTTGCCGATGAATTGAACAGATCATCGGATGACGAGGACAATATTATCGAAGGTCGGTGGTCTAAATTAACCTTCATAAGTGTTAGACATATTCATCAATCAGGCCCACCTATCCATTGTTTTTACGCAGTTGCGCAGGTCTTAGATCTTTCTAAGTCAATTTTAGACACATTTATAGTAGTCTTAACTTCTACTGGTGAAAAAATTCCATGATGTGCTGTCTTCTTTTGCAGTTGCAAGACATTTTAATCCTTTGAATTTGTATTATCGTTGTTGCCACTGACCATTTGAAGTTCGTTCTTGTTGATTATTTAAATTAAATCACAGAGAATACAAAGGGTGGGATGGGTTGTAAATTATCCAAAAAATATCGTTTCTATTAGGTCTTATGCCTAATTATAGCTTTATATACGTAATTATTGATTATTTATTTCATCATACTTTACTGTTCTTTGTTAACCGGTTTTTTATTTCTTGATGGAGACTTAGGAAAAAATGGAAAAAAAGATGGCAATAAATTCGTTTAACGTTATCTTTAAATAAAATGAGTTTCTTTTTTCTCCATAAGATGATTTTAGAATTTTACCATCAGTCAGTGTATGCCCTGCAAATATTTGACCATTTAAAACGATGTGATCACAGTTAGCGACCACTTATATCCTGAATATTTTGAGTCTAATTCGGAACCCTTTACCTTCCTATATCCGGTATGAAGTCACAAAAAAATTGGAAAACACACTTCATATAGGCAAAATATTTGGTATCCCGGTCATGTTATTGATATATTTTGAAGATAATCTTGTTTCATACAACAGAAATGTAATTTTTCAGCTGGTGATGAACATTTCATTAATGGTTCTTCTATTGAACTTAGTGAAGTTGAAAAGGAATTGATCCGAGAAGAACTGAAGAAAGTACGTTCTTTTGCAATGAGGGAATTTTTACCTGAGTTTCAACGTAGTTGAATTCTCTGCCGTTGTTAACGTTTATTCATCATATAAGCTAGCCGTTATCATTTAAGGCTCTCAGATGTCAGTGCAAGTTAATGAATTTGTGTAATGTTTCTAGAGTATTCGTAAAGCTCCTTAGTTATGACGTAAAGCTCTCTAGTTATGACGTAAAGCTCCTTAGTTATGATGCAGAAGCTGGTTATCCTCAACATCTAACGTACAATTCGCCTTCTTTTAAGAAATATGATTTGAATATTTTTAGTTTTGTTTCAACTCTGCAGTCCATCTGCTCTCTAACTGAATTTTATTACCTAAATTTTAATGTTTTTTTCAGTATTCATAGGATTAGAAGTTTTCAGACTGAAGAAGAAATCAATACATTACGTCAAGTGCTGGTTGCACGTCAGAAGCACGCAAGTGATTTGAAACGAAAATTGGGCATTTCACCGTTTACTGAGTTTACTGCCGATATCAATCACTCATTGCAGCATGTCAAGGAATCGCAGGCGTAAGTGTTTGTTTGCATGGAATGAATTCTGAATTTTCAACATAGATGAAATCCAAAAGTAATGCTTATAACTGTTATAACTGACTTTTATTTGATGACGATTAATGTGTAATTCTTAATATTATAATCCATTTATGTTTCATGCTTCCTGCTTGTTTTCAAGCTATAGGATTTTTGGAATAGTGCGTCCTGAACTGGCATTTAATAACTCTAGACATGTATCTGTTCTAGCCAATGTTGAATCTATACATAATTTTTACCAGTCAGTCTAAGGCAGGTAGTTATTCACGAAGAAAGATATATGTGAAGTTTGTTTAAGAGATTTCATACAGTCTCTCATGGTTCGATAATTTCCGATTTTTTCAGGTACCAAAAGACATCGGAAGTGGTCGCAGGTACGGCAGACACTGTAAAGAGCAAATGGAACGATATGCGTAATTCATCACTGTTCAAATCATTCGAATCTAAACTAGGAACAGCATATACGAGTGTAAGATTTTATATATGTATATATTATGTTTTCTATATGTATATATATATTTTCTCTTCTTTAAATTAAATTTCAGTGACATTCTTTAATAGAAAAGTTCTTGGTAAAATTGCAATAACAACTACATGTTATTGCAATTGCAAAATTTTTTCTTGATCTTCCGGAAAAACATTAAGATACGCATTTTGAGATGTAAAAACCAAATAACCATCGTTCAGTCTTTTTCTTTTTTTTTTTCGTTTTCGAGCAATGTATTTGATAGATAACTGAAATTCTATGCATCGTTAATAATATTTGCCTAACCCTTTGTTTGATTTCGAATTAAGAATTTAGATTTTTTTTGAACACCGATTCAAGTATTCTGTAATTTAATTCCAATCCTAAATGCTTTTTTCGATTTGATCTTTTCTGAATTTGATTTCAAATCCTAATAATAAGCAGTCAGACCTTAACCTCCTATTTCCTTTAAATTAATCCATAGTTTGTTTTGTTATACAACTGCTCAAGGTCCCAGCAGTAATGGAAATGGAATAAAAAGTGGTAAGGTTTATTGGAAGTATCGGTTTTATGTCACTTTGTCCTTACTTATATTGCTTAATTTTCGTTTTGCTTAGCCTTAGGGGAATTTTTTCCAATCATCAATGAAAATGGAAGTCTAAGAAGCTTTTGTTTTCGAATTTCACGTCAGATTTGATTACGGGTGAAAAAAAAGATCAAGGATATATTATACACAAATGTGGTTACACTGGTTCTGCTTTTTTTAGTTGCGACTGCTTTGCTGAGCATCTAAACCGTTGCTACCTACAAAAAGACGTATGTGATACCACCTATGTCAAAATTAAAATGTAAAACGGGGCATTTTTCAAATGATTAATATACTATCTGTTAGATTCACAATATCATCTATCTTAAGGCATTAACAACTTATAAAGCTGTGATTTGGCTGCTAATTTGATTTTGATTATTTTATCAAGATTTTAGGCCAAAATGGCAGCATCCACAAGTATCGATCAAATTTCGGGCATGGCTAAATCATCATCTGGAGCATCCAGCCAAACTGATCCTACATCACCATCCAATGAAAAAGTGCAGCTGTAATGTTCAGGTTTGTTTTCTGCTTCATTTTCTTTTCTTTGTAACCAAATTTTTGCTTCGAAAAATATGGTGATTGGGAGGGAGGTTAAAATATCGTCTGCTTTTTAAGTGACATTTTGAGCTTACTGAAATTATAACAGAAAAAAAAATTATTTGTTAATTTTGTTTTGTAGCCATATTACTACGTACTTTTTGAGGAACTGAAATGTTTCTTGTGTCCAAAGAGATAAGAATTAAATATCATCGTTTTGGCTAAAAGAGAAAAGCTTTGTGTACAATCTTTCAGGTAAGATACTTGCACAAAAGTTGCCTTCAAAGAATTGGATTTGCAATCAACTAGAGAAAGAAAACTTTATTAATTTTACCCTTCGTTTCTTTTTTCAGGATATCCTGGTTCTGTCGCTTATATTTGGGTTGGCGAAATTCTCTCGTCCATCAGAAACAGCAATTCCAGTAAAAAATAACTTTCATAACACACAATATTATCTCTCTTAGAACAATACTTTGTATTGTGTGCCACTTCACAACTTTCCCTTTCTTTTTCTCCTCATTGTTTCCTCTTTAAACTTGTGTAATTATATTTTTATTCTATTTTTAAAAGTGTATTTTTCAATTCTTCCCCACTTCTCTTCGTTTTTGCTTATTCCTTTCTTTTCTCTTATATGACAAAAATTGTCTGTTTTTTAAATTTATTGTTTCCAGTGTTTCTAAAAATTATTTTTTATGATTTGGGATTATGACGTGCAAAGTATCAGCTAATAGCACCCTGTATCAAAAGTCGAGTGTTAGCACAATATAAATATGAAGCATGGAAAAATAATTCTGAATTTTTATTTCTTGAAGTATTTCATTTTAGTAATAGAAATAAATAATGATTTAGAAGAGGATTTTATCATAATTTTTGACTAGAAAAATTGGCTGGTCAAATCTATAAAAAACATTTGAGATCTACGCAATAATGTTGTGTTTCTCATATTCTTTCGACAAGATTCCTTTCCCATAGGTAGCCAAAGATACTCTTGGATAAGTAGCAAGCTAAACTATGTTTTTGTTTCTCTATACATATGTGTTGCAGAGTCATCTATGGAGATAACGTGGTTGACTAAAGCAGACCATTTACAAAATTCAAAAAAGTTGTACTTAAAATTCCTGTTTCTTGAGATAGGTTCTATTATTTGAGACAAGGGTTGAGGTGTTGTTCAAGGTAAATGTGTTGTGCAAGGTTTTCACGAAATTTTAACCAGTATAAGGTCATAAATATCGTGCCATAGAGGGAAAGGAGAGTAACTTACCGAATTTAAGTAAAAGAGAGAGAATAAGCCACTAATTTTAGTGGATAAAATAGTTAGTTTGATGTTTCTAAAATTTTCGGTTTAACGGTTATAAAATTCTTGACAAGTTCTTAATTATTCTTCCTGCAGTTTCCTGAATTTCAAACAAAAACAATAAGCGTGTATAAGTATTTGTCTCGTGAGGAGTTTAGATCATTATTCCATGAAAACTTCGCTACACATAAAGCTTTCCACTCTTTTCATAGGTGGATGTTCATTTTTTTTCTCGGAATTTTTTATATATCGCTTAATATTACTTGGCGCTTTAATAGAATGCTGTACTTTTTGTATGTGTTTTTTTTCTTTTCAAGGTTAAATAATAATGGTGAAGGTCAACACTGTATGCAGCTTATTCATTGTTCATTATGGCAACTCTTGATAAATATTGGGAAAAAATTTGCCGACAAATGTAGCAGGCTTAAGATGGGTAAAGTTATGGTTATTTAGAATCACAGCAAGTTGAAATTCGGGTGGAAAATTTTCAGATATTCAAGCTACAGGTACCATGTTTCGTCTGAGTTCTCAGAAAGTTATGATGGCTCAATTAAGTTACATCATGAGTCATGTAATTTCTTACTAATTGGTGAACTAAATTGAAATCAGTGATGTCGGAAGATCAAGTTTAAAGAGTGTTAATAGCTCGACAACTTTTGTGAATATCTCAATAACTCTTTGTTAAAAAGATTGGAATTTTAGAATTTTTTGTCCTGTTAATAGTTGAAATAGCAAACAAACTTTAATATTTATTCGTGCAAAAGTGCGGAACTTATCACGTTATGCGATGTGGAAGTTTTAGTCCATACAAATGTTTTTTATTTCTATTGTTTTCAGAATTATTCCTGAAATTAACACTTACCGTTAGACCTTTCTTGAATAGATTTCCAAATGAACAAATAAAATTATTTTTAGGATATCATTTAATCTTTAACAAAGTATTTCATCTTAAATTACCAACATTAGCAAAAATTTTAGATGAAGATATTTTAGAATATTATGTAGAATCATTGCAAACGCATTTCAGTAAACTTTTTCATCACCTTAAGTACCAGTTTGCTTCTGATTTTATACTGTCATCATTTGGTAATCCGTAAATTACCGCTATGTTACAAGAATTCATGCTAACCTATGATTCATCGGTTATTTAATTAACTTTAAAAATTTTCTCCTGGTTATTTCATTTCTTCATTGGTGCTATTCTTTCAGTTTCCGCTGATTTACCAACTCTTCGAATTTTCTTATTGTGAAAGTCAAAACCTGGTTCCGGCTTAAATTTGCAGCAAATAACCGAAGCAATCTGAAGGGTATATATTTAAAAGCCATTTAAAAATAGCAATTAATGAAACGATAAGAAGTTTTTCTAGTTGGAACAATATGAGATTTATTAGAAATTTCATTTTTACTACTGTGAAAAAGCAATTTTGAAATTGACTTGTACTGTATATAAATAATAGGAATTGATATTAACTGGTTGGAAATTAAAATGATAGAAATTGCTGCGTAGTGCTAGTATTATGATAATTAAGCTAACATTAATAGTAATAATAAAAACAACGGTAGCATATAGTGATAGCTGTTTCCAGCAATGATAGATTGAAAAAGTTTCAAGCATAAACAGTAATATGATTGATTTGTCGAATAAAAAATGAAACTCTGTAAAGTTTTTTTATAACCTTAATTGACTAACGAATGTTCGCATTATTTTCTATTATTTTACTTGAAATAATTAGTCAAATATATTTTTTAGTTTTTTTCTTTTAACTTTCCTTCATCTTATATTATTTATAAACTTTCATCTTTTAATTTACAACTCAATTATTCATAGCTTTTATTATAGCTAGAGCTTCTTTCATTTTGTAATGTAAACTAAATAACTGAATAATAGATCATAGTTTTCGGAATCTCCTCTATCAAAAATGTATCATGGAAAATTTCAGGATAGCTTACTTACTTCCTTTTTTACTTATTTACTTGCTTACTTTTCGATAAGCAAAATGATGATATGATAACCACCTGATCCGTTAGAAAACATATGCAATGGGAATTTCAACGATGAACATGCCAAAATATAAACGACTGGGTACAATTTCTCTTTTTTCTTTTTTTTTTTTTTTTTTTTGCATGTGAATAAATTTACATATTATTTATTATATGGGAAAAAATGCAAGATATTTTGTTTATTCGATTGATGGAATTGAAAGAAAGAAAAAAAAGTGAAAATGGCACAGAAGATGATGGCACATGATATATTACATGACAGTAATATATTTTCGAGTAAACTGATAAGGATGAAGTGATAAACAAAAGTGATTTCTCTTTGTAAAAGAGGAATCGTCCTACTTATTCATTTATCTAATATGTATACAATTGATATTATTGATCAAATTAAATAATCCCGATATATACCAGTATGAACTAATGAATAATAATCATTAGCAAAAATTACCTGCTTGAATTATCGATTTATAAATGTATCAAAAAGATTGTATGAAATGATCGCGATGAAAAATAATGAACTTTGGAACAACAAAAATTACTGAGTTTTTAATGATATTTGTTAACTTCACATGAAAACTTTGGATTTCATTTTTAATTCGTACTTTAGTTCAAGCAAACTTTTAATTACAGTAATGAGTTGTTGCTTTTCTATGAGTTATATTTAAACTTCCTGATCAAATATAAAAGAAAAAAAGGAAAAACTGGCAAATATGAGAATATTATGAGCTCAAATCTAATTTTTATCTAAATTTTAACAAATTTTGAAATCACTAAGGATAGGTAAGCTTTTCCTTAAATTATTGCTTAACAGACACAAATAAAGAATAATTTAACCTCAAATCATAATCTGACCTCTCTTAGATAAAGGAAGCAGAGCATTCATTGATGGTCTTATTGAATAAGATTGAACTTAGATGTGTAATCATAATACGATTAAGTAATTAATTGTTAAGGAATAATTTAACGGAAAGAATTTTTCAAAATGGTTAGATGTAAAGTAAATTTTTAAATGTACTACAATCATTCATAGAATGATAATCAGTTAATGATTTAGCATTTCCATTTGTCACCATATTTTCAGTTCAATTTAATGAGATTCAATAAACTTAAATAAAAGTAGTACATATCACACAGATCATATGATGTAATAAATATACATGAGAACATTTGGAGAAATAAAAAATAAAAAGAAATTAAGAACGAACCCGGCAGTAGTATCCCGTTTCTTTCGTTTTCTGCATAAGAATAAAAAAAAAAAAAAAAGCGAATATTTTTTTCGTCGATTTTTAAAATCTTTCCGGTGGTGAAAAAAACATTCCGGTAAAAACGTTATCCCGTCTAGTCAAATTGATTGTTGCTTCTTCACTTGGGATTGTTAAAGTTGAACTTGGTGGCGTAAGTGATAACATACTGTTGCTTTCACACTTCATCACTTTACAACATTGCTTATCAGCATGACAAGTGATAAAAGTTCTTAATGTATACAGTGATTTTGCTTGTAAAATTACCAATATTCCACCATAGATTAAACTTGTGATACCTGTAATATCTTAACATTAATTAATCAATAATGCTAACTTTTACCATTACAATTTCATTATGCATTATTTGAAGTAATTATCATGAATATTTTCTAACATTGTATTTAATTATAGTACGAAGAATTTTGGAAGACTTAAATCAATGAAAACTTTATATTTTCTCGTACCACAAAATTTCCAATTTTTTTTCTTTTTAAAATTTAAAAATTTCTACGACAACTGATTAAAAGATCAACTAACCGGCAGTTAATGTCGTATAAAAGCATGTCGATAAACGAAATTCAAGAATTGACATTGATCCGTCTGGTGACGGAAATCTTATTTGAAGATTTTTCGGCACAAAAATATAATAAACGAAATCGGCTGATAGAATTAAGATACCAACAATGACAACAAATTTGGCAAAATTATGTGGTACCAAGCATAACATTAAAATTTGAATAATCCAGCAGGCAAATGCTGTCCTGAAAATTTCCATAAAAATTTATTTTCCCTTTTTTTTTTTCTTGTAGGAAATAGTTATCCAACTAATGAGATGAACAATTTGGAGAAGAAGGATGATTGGCTAATTTAAATCGGAACCATCGTCATTTATTTGGCCAATTTAAACTGATATTATCGTTTCCAGTGTATTGGTCGCTTTTACTAAATGTCTAGTAGGCATTTATTGTTGGAAAATTATGAGAGAGAAAAAAGAAAAATTACTGTAACAGACCAAAGTTGTAAATCAAATACTGAAATTTGAAATGAAGTACATAATACATACCATATCCTTCCTGTTATTTTACTTGTTAAATTTTATAGTTTTAATCTTATTAAATTATTATTATTTATAGAAAATTGCCGCTAATTTCTCAATTTATACAATCATTTAAGTATTGATATGTACAACTGCAAAAGTGTATGATATCTTGTTTTAAATAATGTCATAAAAATTAAAAAACAGTTTATTGGTTGATTTTTTTTTGGATTTTGAAACATTAAATTATTTTCATATTTTTACAAAAGTTATCATATTATAATAATGAAAAAACTATCAGTTGAATTGAAATAAAATTAATAATTTATCCTTTCAATACTATGAACTTATAGGAGATAATTGGAAATTTTTTAAATAATCAAATAATTATCTCTCTTCTCCTTTTTCTCTTCCGATACATATAAAAGAACCCTTAAAATTAGGAAAAAAAAAAAATATTTTTGACTATGATAAAAGGATAGTACTATTAATTAAAATATGCAATCTAAAATGAAATTATTATTAAATCTAAAATCTAAAATGAAATTATTATTAAATCTAAAATCTAAAATGAAATTATTATTAAATCTAAAATCTAAAATGAAATTATTATTAAATCTAAAATCTAAAATGAAATTATTTTTTGCTCAAATTATTAAATATATTAATGAAATGCTTAAATAATCAACTCATAATCAATTTATCTGTTAAAGTGATATCGAATGATTTTATTTTCTGCTAAAGTGACTTAAGTTTGAGTGACGAATGATTTTATTTCAACTTTCCTTTT